CATTGTTTTTTGTTCTTTGAAATCTGTTATTTTCAGTGGGCAATTTTTTTTAGTTTTATCAGATGACAGTCATTCAGTCTTCTCTTTTGGCAATGGCTGCTAACTTGTCTCTATCATCCATTCTTTTAAAATCTCATCAGTCCACCAATCCACAATCATCCACCACCTCCACATTGTGGCTTTTAGCATTATGTGCATGGTTAACACTTGTGTTTTCAGTCTTCATCAGTTAAATTCTATATTTACAGGTTTGGTGAGGTTTGTTACAAAGTACTTACCAAACAGATTTAACGTAAACCACACCTTTTCTATTAAAAGTACTTTATAATGAAGACAACTATATCAAAACCATGATGTATACATATGTGTGTGTGTGTGTGTGTGTGAGAGACATTGTGACATGACCAAGTGGTTCCACCCATGAGACCCTAATTTGAATCCCAACCTGGCCGATTTATAAAAATCAGCCTAGGGAAATGACTCTAGCATTTTGGAAAATGCTGAAAACCATACCACGAGTTAACTAAAGCCTTGTAGGTGAAACTGGGTAGACAGAAGTGTTCAGTTGATGATGGCTGTGTTGAACTCACAAGTCATCATGGCTGAGGAGTTAAACATACTAGCTTTGCTCGACTACTGAACATGACAGATTGGGTGCTCTATGTCAGAAACTGTAACTAAAATATGCTTAGCATAGTTGCAGTATAAACTACAGTTTGTATTTGTGGCTGTTGAAAAAACATTGATCCATATTTTTTATTGGTTTATCAACCCTTTGCATGTTATTTGAAGCCAGGAAATATTTTTAGATTGTAAGATTATTTTTTTTTTTTTTAAGATAATAATGATTTACTGATACAAGTCTTACTAATTAACTCATAGCTTGAGGAGGGAGAAGACATGGATCCATGCCTTTCCCAGTGGTACCTGCACATAAGTGAATATAATGAATCCAATGTAAACTGGAACTCAGCTCTTCAATTAACAATTCCAAACCATTATCTATTATACCACCTGCACATCCAAACTTATACCACCCAGTGGTCACCCATCTAGGTATTGACCAAGCTTGATATTGCTTAACTTCAGTGACCATACAGGAACTTGTGCCTTAATGTGATATGGCCATAAGCCTTAATAAAAACACAAACATGCCTGAGCAAGTTTCTGCGACAGGGATTAGTTAGTAACCCAAGCATGTAGGTGTAGCTGGGAAAGACAATTAACCAGCCATGATATTAATGTATGTGCATGTGTAATAGGGAGGTATTATATAGCTCAAACTTTACATGGATTTTATACTTTTGCAAGTCTCTGCTTCTAACAATGACTGTAGGCAAAAAAATAAAATAAAATCAATAAAAAAAAAGTAACTTAGTGAGATTTGATAGCATTTGGGAGGGGTAAACTAAAGAAGATTAAAAACTGTAGTTGGAAAATATCCATGTAGGTTATCAGTTTGTTCTGATCTCATTCATGTTCTGAAAAATTACAAATATGCTTTGGGTATAGTTAACAGGGGCCAACAGCAACCACATAATTCTACTTGATGATGACACTGAGTATGAACGTTGTCGGATTCCATTTATCTGTGTTCTGTACAAATCAGAACATGAAAGGTAACGAACAGGAACGAAAGACAAGTTGTACAATAAGTGATATAAGTTGACTATCCATATTATCAATCCTATGGAAGATATAGGTGAAAATGTTGATATGCTTTTTATTTTTTTTTTTTTCAGCTGAGGGAATAAAGTCTTCATAAGTCATGTGTATCCCCCCACCTTCCACTAGTACCTAATCATTTGAAACAATTGTGTATTACAGATATACTCAAATCTTATCTCTAGTTTTTAATTTGAACTCTCTAGGTATGTACTAAGCTGAGCTTAGTACAAGGCCAAATAGGACTAAAGTAGTCATAGAAAGATTGTGTTTCAACAATGTCCCAAGTGAGGAGGGCCCAACTGTCTTGAAAAATGTGCATTTGAAATTCTGGTCGTTTTACTGTTTTTTATTTTGTTTGTTATTTTTTTTTTTTTAAAACCTGGACATTATTGTTGTTTTTGTTGTTGTTTTTAAACCCTAGGCAAAGGTAGGAATATATGTAACTATCTAATCCTCCAAACTAATGATGAGCTTAAATTAATACAGCTTGAAGCAAATGAGGTTAGGAATATTGGAAGGGATGCTTTTAAAGCAGTATTGAAAGTTACCAGTGCTTGAACGCTAACCTCTGGTACCAATATGTAATGTTCAATCATGGATGATTAGTTTCATACAAATATACTTTACTTGCATATTTCTATACCAGGGCCAGTGTGTACTACCCCCAAGCCCACCTCCGAAACCCCTGACTGGGGAGGGACTCAAAACTGATTGGGGGACCCAGGTAGTGCTTTGTGACCCTTGCTATCTTATCAACATTTGCTTCTTTCTTTTTCTACCTACATTTATATATGTTACAAATTAAATTAAACGCAACTGATTATTAAAGATGAAACATTGAAACATTTTCACTGATTTTGACGTCGTTCTGGGTTCTTTTTTCTTCAAGCCCATGAATATGTTTTGTTCATTTTAAGTCTTGAAAAAAAAAAAGACTATATAAAGCTCACTATTTTTAATCCATAATGTTGAATGATAACTTAAGAAAGTCAACAAATGGGACCATATTATTTTTCTGAAATAAACTTTGGACAATTTCTGGTGGAATTTCCTCCTTGTCTGAGAATGATTATTTGTAGTTTGTAAAAGTTGACCATTAAAATTAATCAACACAAAATATCTGTTGTCTTCAATAATATTCACCTTAAAAAACATTTTCTGCCTAAATACATAGATATTTTATATATATATATATATATGTTAAAAGTTGATGTTAAAAATTGCCACAAAACATTGTTGATTTATTTAAGATGGAATGATCTATTATGACATGTCTCTAATTTGTATTTAGATACATTGTATTTATTTTCAATTTTCCTAGTTGAATTGTTCATCTATATTACATGCGATCCATTATTATAAATAATTAGGTTACAATAAAATTTTATATGAATACCACCTTATGAAAATTAATATGTAGTAAAGTGAGGGACCAGTATATAATAAATTGAGGTGTTGGTTCGTTGGTTGGAGGGGGGGACACTTGCACCAGCCCTGATCTATGTTCAGTGTTTAAGCACAGATTGGTTATAGTTAAAGTATTCCATTGCTCAATTATTTAAAAGAAAAGAAATAGCTAAGTCTCTTTCAAGAAATATATATCTCAATTAATTTTTAATTTATTCGGGGCTGTGGATGTAAATAAATATATTGTTTAATAAATAATTAAAAAGAGCTTCTACTCAAATATGAGTATCCATTTAAAAAATAACATTTAGGAATATATATATATTATTTCAAAGAAATAAAGATTTAAATATCCCAGATTTCAAATAATATTTTTTTTTTTTTTTTCAAGATAGGCATGTTCTCTCTTCTTGGAAGATTGCGGTAACATCATCTAACTTCCAGTTTACTCCTATTTCTCTTTATGCAACTCACTCAGCTATGTAGCACATATGACCTTTGACTTCTATTAATCTGAAACTTTTGACACTTAACTGCAGCTGTTATTTAAAAAAAAAATAGGAATTTTCTCACCTTGTGCTATTTGTTTGTAGCCACAGGAAAATCTGTGGAATAATCTTTTATTTAAATTATAACCAATAGAGGAAATATTTTTTTGTTTTGTTTTCAAATATCCCTGCATGTTTATTCTAGTTCACATGTTGATGACTTTCCCCTACTTAACAATGAAAAAAAATTAAAAAAAAAAAAAATTTAAAAAAGAAAGAAAAAAAAAAATCATATTTTATCCTTTTTACCTTTCTCTTAACTCTTAGTCATTGTCCAGTTAAGAATGCTATGAAAATAGATAGCAACCGGATCATATAAATGCAAATTGTGATTCATTTGCAGTAAACTTTTGTGTGCGAAAACTATTTTCTTTCCCAGTCATTTTTTTTTTTTTTTTTTTTTTTTTAAAACAAAATTTCTCGACCAGTTCATTCTTGAGCATTTAAAAGTTGCTCAATGGTTTGTGTGACAATTGTTTGAGGCATTATGCGTACTATGGGTGTGCATCCATCCTTAAAAACTGGGGGTGTTTTAACACTTAGATGCAAAGGCAACAGGTCATCTAAACAATTTGATATGCCTTACACCTGAAACATTGTGTTTTTTTCTTTCTCTTTTATTATTTATTTAAAGCCAGGATAGTCAGCAATAGTTTTGAAATTTTTTTGTTTATTCTGAAAGATAGATGCTTTGACAGTTTTGTAATAAAAAAAAAAAAAAGACTAAGATTCTAGAAAATTCCATTATGATGGTAGATTATAAACATTGTCAGAGTTCCCAAAATAGTATCATTAAAAATGTGGAGGTCATACTAAATCAAGGTTTAAATCAAAATAATATAAGAAAAATACAAGTTAAAAAAAAAAAAAAGAATTAAATCTGATGTCATCTGAATTTATGTAAAGCTGGACTTTCATTATACTTGACAAAACATTTTTCAATTTCTATTGGTCTAACTACATTGAATAGCAAATTAAACATATTTGACCCAGTGTCTAAAATACCTATGAACTTTGCAGTCACAGCTAAGGTTCTTTTTTTGATTTAAAGCTGTGTCGTTTAACGGTAGAGTGAAAAATGAAGAAAATCTATTTTCTGATAAAGTCAGCTTTAGGAGTGAATGAGGTAAAAGTTTTGTCATTCATTACCACTTCAGTTTATAATCAAATAGGTGACGTTGGTATCTGTCTGATATTAGATCACTCTCTCTCTCTTGCTCTCCCACTTGAGCCTAGATCACCTTCTCTATCAAGTAAACAGTTGTACTTAGAATGCTCTCACTCTCTATCTCTTTATCACAGGATCAGTCACATTATATATATATATATATATATATATATATATATATATATATTCACAGGGCCAGTTGCACTTAGATGTCTCTTTCACAATCACTTGGGCTATTTTCAAGTAGATTTCCCTTTCTCTCTATTACAGCTCTAGTGTCACCTAGATCCATATCTCTCTCTCTCTCTCTCACACACAGGGATATTCTCACTTAGATCTTTCTTTCTCACAGGTCTAGTCTCATATATATATATATATATATATATATATAGCTCTATCACAGAGTGAGTCACACAGATATATATATATCTCTAATACAGGGCAACTTTCACTTGGAGATATCTAAATGAGGTTAGGCCTGAGAGAGAGATATCACAGGGCTAGTCTCACTTAGATCTCTCTCTCTCTCAGTGATAGTCTCACTTAGATATCACTATCTCTATCAGGGATAGTCTCTTAGATCTCTCAACTATCACAGTGCTAGTTTCAGTTAAATCTCTCTTTCACTGGGCTACACTCACTTAGATCTCTCTCTCTCTCTCACAGGGCTAGTCACACTTACATCTTTCTTTCTTTCTCTTTCACAGGGTTACTCACACTTACATCACTCTCTCTCTTTCTCACAGGGTTAGTCACACATGTAAGTCATGAAAGTTTACATCCTGTATGTGTTTCATATTGTCTTTGAATTGATGAATGGAACAAACCTGGGAAGTTGATTTCTTGTAAAATGTTCATCTTTTGTTGATAAACAGATTTGATTGTAAATAATTATTTTAATGATTGCTATAAAGTTTCTATCAACATTTTAACAGAAATGCTATATCTTTGTCAATTTTTAACAAATATTTCTAATTCCATAGACATTTTTATCACTTAATATTGATAATTTAATGTTTTTCTTATTCCTGTACACGTTTTAACATTGTAAAATTTGCCTTGCATGTTTTTTTTTTTTAAATTGTTAGCTTTAAAATTATTGAGTTAAAGGTCCACTTGCTGCTATAATGAAATTAGATATTCAGACAAGCATAAGTTTTCTTCAAACACTTTTATGCACATTTTAAATAATATTTTATTGTGTGGCTTATATTTAATGCTTTCATTAAAATGTAATAAATAATTCTGGTTTGATTTTGTTATTATTTTACAAATCTTTCGGTTAAAGTACTTAACTGTTCTGTTAATATAGGAGAGAATCGAGTTCATTATGAAAAAAAAACCCTCAATCAATCTCTTGAGATACATTTGCTGGAAATTTTTTTTTATTTTTTAAGCATACTTGAGAATACATACACAAGGAAAATTATAATTTTACTGGATTCTAAAAAAATTTCTTTTGATTTGGGCATGAAAGGAATCTTAGCAATTACTTCTTTTTAATTCTACATTCCAATGCTTACAGCATTTAAAATTAATATGTTGGTGAGTAGATTCTTTTTCAAATATACCCATATTTTAAATTGGTCCCTTTTGTGCATAGCCAGAACATTACAATCCATTGCAACTGCTTCTTTCTTTCTTTCTTTCTTTCTTCCTTTCTTTCAACTGTGGCAGTGTTTGCCATGCAGCTGACAGTGTCGGCAGCTAAGATGATGGCGTTGGCTGCTGCTACACCAAGGTTTAATAGCTTGTGTCTAATCTGTTTTTGTTTCCATTAATCTCCAGGTTATTGGGTCAACATTAATGTAGAATATCAACACCTCAAACTGGATTTGTCGTCTATAATCTGTTCTGTGAAACTCTGCTGCTATTGCAACCCCGTTGGCTACTGTGGCATGTTGTATCTGCGAAAAATACATATATGTACGTATATATATCTGCCTTTATTGGAATTTGTTTTTCACACTGGTATGCATGTCTTTGTGCTGAAGTATGCGTTTACATTACTTTTAGAGTTTAAATTATTCAGTTTCTAATGACAGCAGTGTGTGCATGCATGTAAATGTAACCTATTGCACACACTTCCCATAATTCCTTTCTTTATTCACACTTAACGCCTTCATTTTATTGGCATGCTTTTGTTTTATTTATTTATATTTGTGTATTTGAAGCCTGTAAAACTTTTGCTTTTTTTATCCAATCATGAAAAATGAGTAAGGTCTTATGAAAATTACATTTTTTTTTTTGTTATTTTCGTGAAATTTTAATTTTAATCCTTTATTCATTTTTAAGGATACTAAAAAAAAAAAAAAAAAAAAAAAAACGTTTTTTATTTATTCTTGCTTAAATCTTTTAAGTTTTTGTATGCACTTAACTTTTTAAGTGTTTTTAAAGTCAAATTTTAACTTGTCAATATATTACCAAAACTTTTAATGAAAAAAAAAATGCTTTTTCTTTTCAACCAAGTTGCCAAAAAGTTCTGTGATTTAATTGTTGTTTTTGTTTTGTATAAACACCAGAATAATTTTATGAATATAAAAAAAAAAAAAAAAAAAAAAAGATTTTTTTTTTTTTTTTTGAAATAACAGCTTAAAAACAAAGAGTGATTTAAGTCTCACTGTGTGAGGAAAAAGTTACATACCATTCAAGTAATGAAATGATTAATGGTTTCAAACTTTTGATGTGATTTACATGTCACTCAAAAAGCAAACAGTAAAATAGTGTTTAGTATTATAACTTCATAAAAACATTGCAAAAAATCCTGTCAAGATTAAAGTTGCCACAATTTTATTTTTTATTTTTCAACTGCTAAACTGATTTGTAGTAAATGTGTTAGGCACACCTTTTATTAGATGGGGTTAAACTTGATGAGACTGAAATCCAATTATTGTTTTATATATATATATATATATATATATATATAAGTGAACACTGAAGTCAACACTCAGGCTGGCGATTGCGTCTAGCATGAAACAGCCTATCGCCTCTGAGTGTTGACTTCAATGTTCACTTTTATATTTATATTTATATACGCTCTATCTCTGATATTGAGCATTTTATCCCATAAATATAGCACACCTTAAAACTATATTTCTTATCTCAGAACAATAATGGGAAAAAATGTATGACAAAGTGGGAAAAATTTTCTTTTGTCATGTTTCGTCCTTTAGGACTTCATCAGACTAAATTTGTTATGTTGGTGCAACTACATATGTGCACAAACACGCTGGAAATTAAAAAAACAAAAAAATAAAAATTTCCATCATCCCTCATTTGTGCATGTAAGGTTGCACCAGCATAACAAATTTAGTCCAATGAAGTCCTAAAGGACAAAATGTATCACAAGAATACTTTTTCCACTTTGTCATATATTGTCATTCACAGACAGACTGTTTCGCTGTATCATAGTTCATCAGTGTGGCTAGACGTCTGGTTGCCTCTAGCAAGGATCAAAACCCGGCTGAATTGGCATCAGTCAGAGATTCTACCCATAAGCTGTTGGTGCACAGCAGGGATGAAGGTGAATTTAAGCATATTTATTTTTAGATAAACGCATAGTGACTGGGAGAACTCAATTCACTTTACTGAAGAGTCTTGCATTATTAGCAATAATAGTCACTGTTTACAACTCACACTTCCTCCCCAGAGAGCTCAACCAAAATAAATTTTCAGGAGCATATATATTGTCAGACTGTTTCACTGTGTCACAGCTCATCAGTGTGACTAGATGTCCGGTTAACTCTAGCTAAGATCGAAACCTGGCTGAATTGGTGTCAATATAGTCATCCACTGACAAACTGTTTCACTGTATCACAGCTCATCAGTGTGGCTAGCCATGCGATTGCTTCAAGCTGTGATCGAAACACAACTGTCTCTCTCACCCTCAGCACATGCAGCAAAGAAAGGCTCTCTCTCTCTCTCTCTCTCTCTCTCTATATATATATATATATATATATATATATATATATATATATATATATATATATATATATATAGAGAGAGAGAGAGAGAAAGTTGAAACAAATAGAAATTGGTATTTACTAACCTTAATATGACAAAAAGCCAAACTGGAACAGGAAGATTGTGTAGTGGCAATTTTTCATGCGAAGGCCTGCCTAGAAATATAAATTAATAGCCAAAATACATACTCCTGACTATGTAACATAAATCACTCTTATTATTGTTATAATTATGCTTATGGGATCAGTCTTTTCACCACCTGGTTTCATAATCATTTTGGAACAGTCTACTGTTGCCCTAGAGTCACTGCCACCTGACATCGCTAGTGTAAGTGAGATAATTGTAATACACCAAAAAGCCAAAAATACAGCCAAAATACTTGTACTATTTGTTACAAGACCTGTAACCTATTGGGATCATAAGTGCGCCACATGTACTGCAGCCATAGCAACAGTGGTGTATCTTTGGCAAGATAATCTGGTGGAGCCCATCCCTCTTCAGATTGGTTTTGAATTCAGTTTTTCTTTTAGACTGGTTGCCATCTCAAGACAAGAGAGCCCAGTCTACCCTGCTATTTAACCTATAGCTGGAGGTAAGAGACAGGTTCATGCCTTGTTTCTTTCCAAGAGCATTAGCACAAAGTCAATGAAACAGGTGTTGAACTCGGCATGCTAATTTTATTTTCTGCTCAAATAAACATTACACTATCTATGTCTCCACTATGTTATTTTATAAGATTAATATTCTTTTTATTTTAATAAGTAATTGATGAGAAATTGTGAAAATGGAATTTGGGATTTTAATAAATATCTGTATATCTGTTTTGAAAATACCTATCTTGAACATTTTTTTTAATCAAATTTTTTTCATTTTTTATTTATCTTTTTACTCCTCCGCCATACCTGCTAATCTTTTGTCTCTTTATATATATATATATATATATATATATATATATATATATATATATATAATACAAACAAAAAAATGAAAACGCAACTGTAATTTTAAGTTATTTTATATAGACTTTCTTTCACAGTCTTTAAATACCTTAAGGTATAGTAATTAATAAATTTACTTTCTCTTGGTTATAATTTACTGTTAACACAAATTTTCTTTTTCATCTTTAATGTTGCAAGGAATTTTGTTATTCACACAGTTTCAATTGCTTTCAGATTTCAACTATTTCATATACTTTAATACGAAAACTCAAGTTTTTAATAAAATAATATTGGTTTAATCAAATAATGAATATACTAGGAGATACAGATATTAAAGCAAATTTTATCATTAATACAAGATGCTATAATCCTATGGTTTGTTGCACATTTAACATGCAATTATTTTAAAATGGCATTCTTTGGAAGCTGAGCTTGTTTTTAAAATGTTTTTTTTTGTTAAGTTTTGAAAGAAAGTCGGTTATTTTTCCCCCCTCTTTTTTCTTTTAATACTCAAGCAATGAAATACTTGAACCATGACCAAAGAATTTCTATAAACATTTCCTGAATTGGCAATTTCTACTTAGGGTATATTTGATCTTCTTCCTGCTTGAATATGAAATGCCTTGTAAAATTTCAACCAATTTTACTTGTGGAATTTTCTCCAAGACAGGCTACATGAGGTTGCAAATCCACTTGAATAAAAGTGAAATGAAATCCACAGTGAATAAAATATTGATTGGAAATAAGATAGTATCAGTCTTTCATTACTTTTTTTTTTTTTTATGTCTTCACTCTTAACTCTTCTGTCTGCCTAAGATGATCAAAAACAAAATTGAAAGATACATTTCTATAGGTTTTTATTTTGATAATATTTTATATGGCTTTTCCTTTCTTTCCAAACTCCTTATCTTGTCACTTGTATTCCTGACATGAAACCATGTCAATTATCATAAATTTTTGACCTGGTTAGGATTTAAATTCTTGCAACTTGCCAATTTTTATAACCTGATCCATAAAAAAATCTGTTTTAAATAAGAGATACAAGTTCAAATCTTGCCACAGACTTATTCATTATTTCTTATATGCACTTTTTTTTATTATTAGTGATTGAATGATGATGAAAAAAAAATAAGAATTAAAAATTGAGTTTGCTACCTCCTTTCCTTATACACACACTCAATATGGTCTTCATTCTCACCAGAAGCTACTGACAAAAGGTGCCAATTGTAAGATTTTAAATTATAAAGGAAACTGGACTAATAAAACTAATAAAACTAAAACCTCCAAATTTTAATCTAAAACGAAATAGGAAAGTTAGTTTTCATTTAGTAAAAAATCTTGATATTTCTTTGGCAAAAAGATTTTTTTTTTTTTTTTTTTTTTTTTTTTAAATGTAAAATTGGAATCTCTATATGGGAATAATCTTTTAATGTAAAATTTACTTAATAATTAAAAATTTGGTTTATTTGTCATCATTTGTAGGAATTGAGAATAAGAAATGTTTGGTAGATGAAAGAATTTCTTGCTTTACTTAAGGTAAAATTTCCAAAAGATTTATCTATTTTACTCATCATTTTTGTTGGAAAAAAATCCAGAATTTGAGATTTAGGAGGGTTGCACAGGTTAAAAATAATTTTCCATATTAATTTGAGAGGAAAAAATTATATGTGCACGTGTGTGAAAATACACACACACACACCAAGGGAGTGCTGGAAAGAAATGTTAGTGGTCAGACCCACTTCCCAGAATTTAATCCAATGGCCAACTATCAGAATATTATTTGAATCCCTTCTTCATTTGGGCTGGCAACTTTCAACACCATCCCATATGTATATAAACATGATTCATTTAAGAATCACTTAAAAGAAGAGTTAAAAAAAATTTGATAAGTTTAAAAAAAAATATGTCAGTCAATCTGTCATCAGTGAAAAACAATACTTTTTTTCTTGGGATAAAAATGTATTTGCCAAACAACTTTTAATTTGATCTCTAAACCTTAAGATACAATAAAGGTGTATTTTTATTGTATTTATTTCAATATACTTTATAATCTACTTGTAAACTACCCTAGTATTGGAATATATATATATATATATATATATATATATATATATATATATATATATATATATAAAAACTGTATTTTTTAAGGTGAATATTATTGAAGACAACAGATATTTTGTGTTAATTTTAATGGTCAACTTTTACAAACTACAAATAATCATTCTCAGACAAGGAGGAAATTCCACCAGAAATTGTCCAAAGTTTATTTCAGAAAAATAATATGGTCCCATTTGTTGACTTTCTTAAGTTATCATCAAAATGTCTGTTATCTTTAATAATATATATAAAATAGGATACAGAACCAAACAATGTGACAAACACAAGACTGTTTCGTCAGAACTAGATTACACATTTTGCCCTTACTAGGCCCCATCAGAACAAAAACAAAATAAAAATATATATATTTGTGTATATATATATATATATATATATATATATAGAATAATATGACTCAAGTTTTTAGAGAAAAGGTTTTTTTTTTTTGGTTTTTTTTACTTGTTAATTGTTCTGTATTGGAAGTGAAGCTTTTTCACTGCAAACAATTCTGGGTCTGGTATAAAGAGTACTTTGTAGGACAGAATCTCTTATTTTGATAAATGTGTTTTCTATTAATGTTAATATTAGCCATTTCCTTATAAGGAAACATTCAACATTCATACACCAAGCAGCCAGTGCAACTTTTGGTTGAATTTTATGAAATTTTTCTCTTAAAAAGGTTTTTTTCAGGAAAACAAGTTTCTCATCTCCTGTAATTGTTATTTCCAGTATTAATGGGGGCTTGTCATATTTATTATATTTATTAGTACAATAAATAAAAGTAATGAAAGACAAAGTTGTGTGTGTGTGTGTATATATATATATATATATATATATACACACACATATATGGCAAGAAGGAAAAAATTTAACACATCATCAAAAAATTTGGTAGTGTGTGTGTATATGTTTGCTAAGTGTAGTTTAGTCTTACACAAGCCCATTTTTGTCTGCTAATGTGACCGAAACTCGTTACTATTCTAGGAAATTAGATGACTAACCATACACTATGACAAGAATCCCCCACACACACATATATATATATATATATATATATATATATATATATATATATATATATATATATATATGTATTCAATAGAAAAACTCTAAAAATTAGTTATTCCTGCACAAATGACATACATAATATTATTGACTCACATAACAAAATATTAAAATTGTTTTATGACAGCAACATACCAGATAACAAGCCCTCTTGCAATTGTAGAACCAAAACCAGCTGCCCAGTTGAAGGTATGTGTAACTCAGAAAAGGTTGTATCCCAAAAGAAAATATTAATGATAAAAAAGTATCAACTGGTATCTCCACTGCAAGTTGGAAACAGAGATTCTACAATCACTAGCATTCCTTCTCTAAATATATTGATTCCATTTCATAAAATGTAGTTGGTCTGATGAAATGAATATGCCTATATTCATTGAAATAAATTTATTACCAATAATGAATTTTAAAGTTTTTCCTAATTATATATATATATATATATATATATATATATATATATATATATATATATGTGTGAGAGAGAGGAAGAGAGATTGCATGGTGAATGTCAGTTTCATGCATCAATGCAATCTTCAGACAAAAAACTCAGAGTGACCATGCAGTGTTGACTCATATATATTTTATCACTTAAACTTATTATTTTAGTGGATACCCATGTGTGAGTAGACAGTCTGTTTATTTATTAAACAGAATATTTATTTTTGTTTATCCACCTGAATATTCAAGAAATCTTATTAAAGGATTTGAATGTGTGTCCCCTTTAGTAGTAGAAACCTTTGTTAGATCCGACATGCTTTATACCAACTGGGGCACCAACGATCTTGGCAAGTGAAAATAAATAAATATACTGTTTAATAAATCTACACATATATGGGTATCCACTAAAAATAATGTTTATATGAGTTATATATGAGAGCGAGAGACACAGACATAGATATTACACACACATTTTATACATATATTATGTTTGTTTTGTGACTTTTAACTCACTCCAATGCTATAGAGCTTAAATCATATGCTTTCAGCTTCTTATTTATATCATCATCATCATAATATTATTATTAAATGTACCATAATTGGATTTTTTATTTTTTTATCTACTTTATAGGTTTCCAAACAAGATATATTTAGTTTTTTCTATAATAAATGCAAAGAGAAAGAAACAAGTTTAAAAGTGATCAGGTGAGGAAAACTGGATTTTCCATTTGTAAATCTTTTTCTTACTCATATTTGCTAACAAACTTTTTTTATGCTGGGCTCAAGGCTAAAAACTCTCATCACCCAAATTGTGAGTTCTATAACCAATTCTCTTTTGCAGAAAAAAAAGCAACACTCCACTCCCAGCAAAACAAAAAATTCTCGATAAAGAAATTTAATAAAATATTTATTCAATAGCTTTATTCTATCAGCAATTCTTACCTTAATTCCTGACCACTAACAATCCCACTTTTCTGATTTCAATGCATTTACATAATTATCCTTTCAGTAAGTCTTGTATTAATTAGTGACCACAAATTATTCATTTTTCCCTGATTTCAAATATAGATTGAACTCTGAAACTTTTACTGAAATAAATTTTAGCTTAAAAAAAAAAATTGATTAATCAACAGTTTTTCTTTCTTTATTACCAGAAATATTTTGTTAGTGGAAAGAAAAAAAGCAAAGTAGTAAATGGTAGAGTACTAATAAAGTCAGTTGGTAACAGTAAGAAAAGCAAAAGCTGAAACTTTATCTACATATATAAGTTTCAAATAAAGTGTATGCTAAAATCTGTTGTCACTTTGATGTTGTTCCCTATTGCCACAATGTAATATGTAACCGTTATCCTGAAAGGAAATCAGTTTTAACATATTTGCTTAATAAGTTCTACCCATATCACAAGTTGTATAAACAGCTACTAACTAAAAGAATAAGCCACAGTTTGCTAAAATTCTCACATTAACTGAATTCACATTAAAAAGAAGGGTTAAATTTAAGTTTACTATTTTTTCTAACCCAGCCAGTGTCATGGATCAAAGTTGAAACCCAGGCTTAAAAAAGCCAAAATTTTGAATGATAATTTTACAATTCGGCGCACCAACTCTTTTGAAAGATTTGTATAACACAATCCTTCTACCCATATTGCTCCCCACCATTTGAACTTACATACAGAGCTAAATAAATATGAAGATTCTAATAGCAGTTAACAATCACTAAATAATTTATTTGTCATTGTCTTGTTTCAATCATATATATATATATATATATATATATATATATATATATATATACGCACAGACACACACACAGAGTAAAAATATGAGCTAAAGCTTTAAAATAAGGTAAAAGCTTAAAATCTAAAATAAAATAGGGGCTCACTGCCAAAATCAACAGAGCTTAAATATATTATAATAATATTATTAATACAATGATATCAAAAGCTGCTACTTAGAGTTTTATACAATAACACAACACAATCATCAGGCAGATTTAATTTGCCTGGTGTTATCACATCAGTAGCAGATTTTGATATTATTGTATTAATTATGTATACATAACTTTTACATTTTTTTCTCTAAGTGCAGTCAGATAATTTTAATGATTTCTATCAAATTTTGGTGATACAAGAATATGGGATTTTGACATTTTATCTAAATTTGACCACTTTCTCATTTAAATTTTTGTAGAGTTAGAAATCAAATTTTTAAATGACATTGTTGAACAACATGGTGTTATTGAGAATCAAATAAGTACTCTATTTACACTTTGCTAGTAAATCCTGAATTTTACAAGGCAAGTAGGCCCTCCCCAATTGAAAGATTAACACAACATGATCTTGTCAATTCGTCCCTTTACATGATTAAGTTAGGCTTAGTAATATTTATACGATGATGATAAAATACTTTTAATTTCATTTGGAATAGTAAAAGATTAAGAAAAATATTTTCTGCTTAAGCTTGAATAAGTCTTTTTTTTTTCCTCCTTTCTATTTTGTTTAAAAGCAGGTTACATATCCATAAGACAAAATAAACTTGGTTAATGATTTTAGGAACTCTTTCTTTTTTCTTTTCTTTTTTTTTTACCTGGGCAACACAAGGTAGCCTTACTTGTGCATGAATACATAGATGACTATATATAAGTTAAGATAGATTCATTTGTTTAATTATATAAACTAGCACATAGTAAAGTATCGGCATTTTTCTCTCTCTCTCTCTCTCTCGGACTTGTTGCTCTTTTTTCTTTTTATTTGTCTATATAATAAAGTATCGAGACTTCATAGCTTTTCTGACCTTGTTGAGATTACATTGCTCCACCCACATGCAATGGTTTCTGGTGACTCCTCCCTCATTTGTCTTGCCCCAAATCTGCATTATTCATTAAACTGTTAACCATTTCATGTGCAAAAGCAGCTGCAGTCTTAACCTTTTTCATAAATAAAACCAAAATTCAAAGAGTCTGTTATGTGATATTGGTTGCATTTAATAAGTATTGTATTCTCATCATATTCTAGAATTATTGTAAAAATAGAAAAATAAATAAATCCCATCGTTACATTAAGAAAGTGTCCCAGTTCTATTCCTTAAGTTGCTAATTTATTTGCTGGCACACATGATCAATGAATAACTATCACTTACAAAGTTTGCTAATTAAAAAATATCTAAGTTTAAAGCATTTTTTTTTTCTGGTGGTTTCTCCAACCTAGGAGATGCAGGTTCAAACCCTAATATTTTCTTCATTAAAACTGGACTGCACAGGCTGGTGGACATAAATTGTATTGTTTAAAAACCTGGAATGTCTACTAAAACATTGTAGCCACTAAATAAAATGTTTAAAGGGATACACATATATATATATATATATATATGTGTATGTGTGTGTGTGTGCCACTTTGTGAGGTTTACAAGAAGTTAAAAAATATCATAAGGATACCTAGCAAGGTAGAATAACAAACAAGCTTGTCTTGCAAACTAATTCACAATTGGAGTGAGTTGGATCTCAACTGGGTGCCTTACTGTTGGGGCATTATACTAAAACAAAACTAGTTTCAGTAAATACCTATCAACAAATCTTTATACTTTGTAATGTATTTCTCAAGACACAAGCTTCATGCTTTATATATATTTTCTTGATTAACAAGCAAAACTGACTAATACTCATTTTTAATATATATATATATATATATATATATATATATACACATACTTATGAGTTTACTTATTTAAATGTGGAAGCAGATTAGCTCAGATTTTACTGCGTGTGTCAAATTTTAATACAGTAGCGTCGAGAGAAAGAGAGAGCAAATGATGTGAAAGCGGATAGTGTCAGTGTCAGCATTCCCCCAGTCTCACCCTTCTTTTTCCCTCCACTGCAGATATCAACACAGCCACCACTGCTTGCTGGTGTGCCTCTACTGCCATTAGCTTCTCTTCTGCCACTGCATAGCTGCTTCTTCCTCTTCACTATCAGCAACGATTGTAAGCATTTAATAAACTTGCTTGCTCGTTGCTAATACAAGCAAACAGAGGATGCTAAGCGAGGATAACGTCTCTTTCTTATATTTAGCCTTGTGCTTCTCTCTCTCTCTCTCTCTCTATCACATGCACACACTCATCTGATTTCTTGTTTGTTTTTTTTTTTTTGCAAAAAAGATGTGCAGTAAAAATGCTAAGAAGTAAAGGACAAAAAGATTAAGAGATATAGTAAAACTGATAGGAAATTAGAAAAAGAAAAAAGTATGTACAGTAAAACTAGTAGAACAATCTGTAAAAAAAAAAAAAAAAACATGCCATATTTGATGCCATATAAGATGCACATTTTTTTTATTAAAAATATCTTTTAAAATTCCCCTGCATCTTATATGCCATATGTAGGTTTAAAATTCGCGATAGTTGGCCAAAATTAACTACCTGGCAACTCCTATTAGCTTAGAATTTAGAGTAACTTTCATATACCTATTGTCATTATTTAAAAGGCTATTATGTAGATTAAAAGTGTTATCATTGATAATATTCATTATATTAATTTCATTACGTTTAATATTAGTACTTTGTTTCACTAAAATTATATGCAATATATTCAAATTGTATATTTGTAAAATATATTTGTTTCATTAATATTTTTCTTGAGATAACTTCTGGTTGCATTGGTATAAATGCAATCAGAATTTTTATATCCTAATTAGTCCACTAAGACGTTTACAAAGACGCAGGTTGTACAGATCATATAAAGGAAAAGTTTTGATTGAATTTTAATGGTAATTGTACTGTTTTGCTCAATTGTAATAATTGCTTGATTTTTATTTTGTTTTCTTACCTTTGGATATAAATAAGTTTTTGTAGGCTCTTTTTTTCTATTATGTTTCATTTTAATCATGGCTTGTTTAACCAAAATAATACCTCATAAATATAGCCTAGGCTGTACCATTTACTAATAATTTTACTAATTTTACTACTTACTAATTTTTCTTGATTTGCCCTGCTGAAATTGGGGTGTGTCTTATACACCATCAAATATGGTAAATAACACTGAATTAGACCCAGAGCTTGGTTGAACAGATGAAAACTGTTAAAGGAGAATTTGAGAAACTAATTAATAGTAAAACCTGTGATGAAAGTTAGCAACAAAAACAGGCAGGTTTTATTAATGGTTGGTAAATCTATAACTGATCAACTAAGTGGAACAGAATATAACAATATTGTTTTGACTTAGTCAAATAGTTAAAAAAATGTAGAACATAACAGTGAGTGTGTGCATGCCTGTGTACACACATATATATATATATATATATATATATATATATATATATATATCCACAGACACTGTTTCACTGTATCACAGCTCATCAGTGTGGATAGACAGGCAATTACTTCAAGCCAGGATCAAAACCTGACCAATTTGATAGCCCTAGGGTGAGACTCTCACACTAAGGCCATCACCACACACTACAAAGAAAGGTAATTTTTAACATTATATATGACATATAAGCATTACTGACTACCAGAAGTCTTAATTTATAGTGAAGAGCTTTATTAGCATTAATCAGCAGTAGCTGACAAAGTGTCTTTCTTCCAAAGTGCTCAACCTACAAAAAGGGCATATATATATATATATATATATATATATATATATATATATATATATATATATATATATATATATATATGATATTGCACATTAGGTGCTGGTATTATTAAAATAGTGCTCAATGTAATATGACAGAGCTGTTAAGTATATATTAATAAATATACATATTAATCCTCACGGGTAGCATAACTTGGAGTTTCATATCTTTACTCAGCATTTGATGGTTCGTTGTGCATAACACTCTGAGTCAGGATACTAGTGAGGATTAAATATATATATATATATATATATATATATATATATATAATATCACAGTTCAGTTAAATTTCCAATTCTGGCATAAAACTCAGTCTATATACCAGGGTTGAATAAGATTGACTAAGTTTTCATCTTTTAATGAAACTTGTATAAAAGAGCGATTGCTGCTCAAATACACAATTATTAAATTACACACATGTGCATGCACACACACACACACACACACACACACATATATATATATATATATATATATATATATAAAACAATACTGCCATAATTTGAGGCCCCAAAGACAACAGATAAAAAAAAAATTTTGAATAAAGAGTGAGACAAGGGGGATGATAAATTATTTACAGCAAGCCTTGAAAGTATATTTGGGAAAATGAATTTGGAATTAATAGGAGTTTTGAATAGAGAATATACAAACCAATTACAAGTGTTGCTAGTAACATGCAAATCAACGCCACCTGCTGCATAATAGTATCAATGGCAATTAAACTGGTTCCCCCAACAGGTTATTTTTTATTTTTTTTTTTTTGTGGGGAGTTGTTAGATACTGAGCAGGATTAAAACAAGACCTGTCAAAGAGTAGATGTATCTGTATTATAGGTGTCAATAGTTTTCTAGCACAACATGGTAGGCTGGGCACCATATCTATGTACATAGCCTGTGCCAATGACAACATGGCCCCACTGGGCTTCTTAGATAGTTAAGTCAACATTCAGTGCAGAGGGTTCTCTCAATGGAATCAATGGCAACATGACTATAACCAAGATTAGCCTTCAAGTCAAAGGACATTTGCTGTGGTTTGACCTGAAGAGGGACAAGCCCTGTCTAGTTGCATATGAAATGCTTCACATAAATGAATACATATAGAAAAACTTATAGACTTTCAACCCAGGTATTGGGAGGAAACTGGTCAGCTGTGCTGTGACTACACCAGTCATAGTATTGCTGATGATGATTTGCTGACAATATTTTACTTACATCTATGACCTATAAATTGTGTGATATATAAACAAATAAGGGTATACTGAAATATATTCCCCCATATCTTTCTTGCATAAGTTGTCAACAGCCACTTGTCACAACACTTAGCATGTTTCAAATGCTTCACACACATGGAATTCATTTAGTTGTTTTCCTTGTGAAAAACATTGCAGTTACTATGCATTACTTTGGTATATTGCTGATTTTGCTACCCATTTAACCAACTATCTAAATGTGTATGCACACAGGCAGCAGCCCTTCAATAATAAATGTTTGATTAAAAACCCCAGATAAGGAATATTTTATATATATTCAGTTGTACAGAGACAAGAAAATAAAGTAAGTCAGACTTACTTTAGTCTGTTTGTCTGCTCAGGCCTATTTGCATTTCTTCAATACCCACATTTTAGTTTAGAATGCAACTTTGCTGAGCAGACCATAGTTACAGTTTGTGGGAGAGAGCACATAATCTGGGGTGATTAGTAGTTGAACAAAGCTAGTATGCTCAAACCCTAAGGCACAATGACTTGTAATTTCAGCTTCTGAACAGTTCTGTCTACTTAATTTCACTCACAAGGCTTGGCTCAACTTGCAGCATGGTTTTCAGGCATTTCCCAAAAGTGCCACACAATGGGATTGTCTCCTCAGGCAGTTATCAAAAAGACACCTGCTTGACAAATCGACCCTAGTGAGTTTCAAATCCAGGTCTTATGATTAGAATGTTAATGATCTAACCACTCAGTCATGCACATGCTTTTTAATGACTTGACCATAAGGTCATTAGTTTAATGTATGCATATAAACTGTCACAAAATCTTTTGACTGCTTTCCTTTTTGCCATTTTAGCCATTATTAAGATTCAAGGATCTTGTTAGGAAAGAAGCCCCCATCAATATTGGAAAGAGTAATAACAGCTACTGGACTTGAGGAATCTATTTTCCAGAAAAATTATTTTAAAAAAAAGATTTTATAAATTCCAGCTGAATGTATGAGTATTTTTGGATTTGTATATTAATGCTATTCTTGCAGGGAAGCAAAAAAAAAAAACACTTCTAAATTATTAAAAGTAAAAATATCTCACTTAGAGTGTCTCACTTTGCCAAACCTCCTGCTTCCTCTTCCATTGACACAAGTTTGTCAGCTAGGTGGGCCACTGTTTTCCCTTATCTCTCATTTGCCCTGTGAGGTTTAAGTTTTCCAAATCCCCATGTGTCCAAGAAATTTCAGTAGTCCCTTTCTGAGTCTAAGTGTTCTTTTTGCTGCCAGTTTCTTTCAGATTTCCTCATTGCTTACTCAGTCCATCCATTCTCAGTATCCTTCTGTAGAACCACATTTCCTCTTCATCTGTGGTAAGATTGTGCAGCATTCATTGTCGTACAAGAATAATTATTAATCATTTTATCATAAATCTCAGATTGTTATTTAACCACTGTTAAATAAACATTATAGACCAGATATAAGGCTAAAGCCTTTGGTAAGATTTGAACTTCTAAACATTATGCTTTATTTTTCCTCTCTCCACTGCTAATTGTCGGATAGGAACAAGAAAGTTGGGATAAAAATAATAGAAATGAAAGAAAAAAAAATTTCTCTCTCTCTCTATAAGAATAAATTCATTCTTGGAGTGGTGTTTATAAGTAATAAATATGAAAATGAATTTTATTAACCTGATGACTCTGATATTTTATGCTTTGTTTCAATATGCTCATCTACTTTTATTGCATTACCTCTCTTTCTCTGTTTCCATTCTCTCTTACTCTTTATTTCTCTCTCTCCTCTTTCTTTTAGAGGCGATAATTTTGTGCCTTTTAGACATTTGTTTTATATGCTTATCTGTTTTTTGGGGTTTCCTCCCTTTTTCTGTTTCCTTTCTCTCTATCTCTCTGCCCTCTCTTAATCCCTTTTCTTCCTCCACTAATTTTTCTCCTCCTCCTCTCTGTGATTTTTGTGCTTTTATATATACATTTGTTTGGTTAGTTATATTCATCTGTATATTGGAGTTTCCTCTCTTTCGCCGTTTCCTTTCTCTCTCTCTCTCTCTAAGAATAAATTTGCTCTTTCACTTGGAGAGTTATTTATAATTATATTAGTTATTTACTAGTTATAATTAATAAATATGAAAATGAATTTTATTAATCTGTTGACACTAATATTTTATGCTTTGGTTCGATATGCTCATCTGCTTTTATTGCATTACCTCTTTCTCTTTTTCTCTCAGGCACACACACTCGCTCCCTTTTCTTTGCTTTCTTTTAGAGGAGATATTTTTGTGCCTCTTAGAGGTTTGATATGTGTATTTTGGGGTTTTCTCTCTTTCTCCATTTCCTTTCTGTCTCTCTCTCTCAATCCCTTTTCTTCCTCCTCTAATCTTTCTCACCTCTCTTTTTTAGAAGTGATAATTTTGTGATTTTAAAATTTCTTTTTTTTTTGGTTTAAAATGCTCACCTGTTTTCTTTTTGTGTGTGGGTGGGGGGTTCTCTATTTCATTCTTTTCTTTTACCTCTCTATTCTTTTTACCTCTCTATTCTAGAAGTGATATTTTTATGCCTTTTAGAAATTTGTTTGGTTTAATGTGCTCATCTGTTTCATCACACCTTCTGTGTGTGTGTCTCTCTCATATATATATATATATATATATATATATATATATATATATGAGACAATGCCATTGGCAGGCTTTATACTGGGTAGTCTACAAAAAAGGGAAAATGTATGAGTTTACACTAATGAATGATTTTTGTTAAGACTGTAAACTGAGTTGCATTAACAAACACACTACAAATAAAAAAAAAAAAGATTGATATTGCATTAATTTTCTTTTTCACTATCCTTCTTTCTCTCCTAAATCAAAATATAAATTTATATCCTAAATCTTAGAAATTTGAAACCTTAAACTTTTTAGAGTCATTTTACATCACTGTAACCAAAGTACATGGTTAGGGCTAAAAGCCATGAAACATGGAAGTGTGTGCACACTTGGCATGATAAACTAAAGTACATTCTAGAAATTCTCTCTTTCTCATTAGTGTTCAATTACATTTAATGTGAACAAGACCATGACTGAGGGTTTACCATACCTGGTAATTTTTTGTTTTTTTTAAATCAAGGTTTCCTACCCATCTAGTTTTAGGATCAAAATGTAAGATATAATCAAAGCTTAGTGAAGTTAAGCTTAGGACTTACCTGTTTGTGGATTTTTTTATGTTTATCTGGTAAGTTTTCTACCTTAGATTCAGATAACTAAAATCTTGTGTGTGATAGATATATGGGGTTTGGCAAAAGAACCTCCCAGAAATACCTCCCATATTATGGTAATATATTAGCTAGATGAAGACACCATTGCCACTAATGTCTTACCATTATGTGCAAGATATTTCTGCTGCACCCTATATTATATATATATATATATATATATATATATAAGAAATACCACACCTGCAATTGTAGTTTCGCCTTTCAGATAGTCATCAGCTAAAAACTGGTCAATTTCGAAATAGATTTTGCCCTGTAATTGACTTTAAGTGCATGAACAAAGATTTTACACAGACACACGTACTAATATATATATATATATATATATATATATATATATATATAAAACAAACATTACTTTAAAAATGTACATAATGATTACTGTAATTGGTATTTTTTTATAAAGTAGTTTGTATTGGTAAGCTTAAATAGCAATAGGATTAGGAATAAGTTAGTTTTATTCCATGCCTGCTGATGTGAATTGACAATCACCTGATTACCCATCAAATGTTCATAGGAACACTAAATTCCAATGCCACATGCTTACAAGATCAGTTTCAATTAATGTTACATTTTATGTTAACCTGTAGGTTGACATCACTAATATTATTTTTGAAATTCTTTTGTGGCTGAATGGAGCTTTGAAAAAATGGTATTGCATTTTGTTCTTCTTTGTTTCTATTTTATTATAATTTTATTATATTCTATTTTTGTTCTTAAAAAAATGATAGGAGGGAGTTGAAATCATGAAATTTTTGTTTCTTTGGTTGGGTATTTTCTGTTAATCCTAGTTGAGGTTAATTGAGGATAATTTAATAAACTTCTATTTACTTTTTTCTATATTAGACAACACATTGTTCTTGGTAGATTTCTAAATGCAGATTCAACAGGAAATGAATGTTATTCCAGTCTTTATTTTTCAGTCTTTATTGAATTCTTTGTGGGGGGAGGGATATCAGGCAATTTAGTTTAGACTAACTCGTTTTCTCAAATATCTAACAAAAAAAAAAAAATTACCTTGCTTTTTTCTTTCTTCAAAAACTACACAGAATAGGTGACATTTTTTTTAGAGAATGTTTTAAGTTTTGAAAATATTTTGTATCTTACTAAAAGTAGCTGTTTCGTAACCTGTGATATCTTGGTTAGAATTTATTATTCAGCAAAAATGTGGTGTCAGGACAAAAAAAGAACTGAAACAATACTTGTTTTTTTTTCCTAACTACAAAAGTAGTTTGTTTTTTTTAATCAATTCGACCCATGCAAGGCAATAATGCCACTAAGGTGCAATGGGTTACTTGGAATGAAAGTGAATGAGAAGACTTTAAAACACAATCCTAAACAAGAAACAAGGGATAAATCTCTACTTCTACTTTTTACTTTTAACTGAATATATGGATTGTTTTATGTATGTATCTAGAGTTATAGGAATGTTTTATTTTCCAAACACGGTCAGCACATTGTGGTCGTGTTCATTGTTAATGTTATTGAATGTTAGCTTTTTCTTTTTTATTAATGTTTCCATTATTTTTAATCTTTTTTACATGTTTATGATGTTATTATGCTTGTATTTTCTACTAGTATGTTTCAGATGGAGTCTTTTAGGTTTGTGTGTGTTTAAATGAGTCTTAATGGAGCTATAGTTGGTAGGTGTAATATAAGTCATCCAGATAGACATGTAGTAGTGTGACCAATGTAATTATTTATTAGTTTGATTTGATCAGGAACACACTTCCTTAAGCGGCATTTGAACTCATAAATAATGTCGGTTCTTTGTAGTTTCAATTTTGCAGGCATGTTGTTATTTTTGATGATAAGGTTAGCGGTTTTAAATTTTTCTGTAACAGACAATTTACTTTTCTTGTTCAGGTCAACTGGGGTAGTGTATTTCTTCATGATATTTCTAAGTGAAGATTCATCTTGTTTATAGTTGACATGCATTTGGCTTTTGTAGAAGATGTTAATGTTACTGTTTTTGTCTGCATGTTCAGTATCATTATTAGTTACTTTAGAAAAAAACAGTTTAATCTTGTGGTTGTTGAGATAGTTAGGAAAACCCTTGTTAACTAGTATATATAGTTTTAAGATGCTATATTTATGGGTTAAAATGCTCAATATTAGGGATAGTGTATGAAAACATAAAAGTGGATTAATGCAGTCAACACCCAGTGGTGAAAGTCTGCTTCATGCTTAAACATGATTTTCAGGCCATGTGTGTTGTATTTCGGCTCAACTATTTATATATGCTGGTCAATGTGTATAGATAAACTTTTTTTTTTAAAGCTCTAAAGAATTGTATCCATTTATTACTATATGATATATGTATGTTTTTTTTTCATGTGTGACCCCACCCTCCTATATGAAAAGCTGTCCAACTTTTCAATTTTTGTTCTTTTTTTCAGGCATTGACTGTGATACGCATCAAGCTGTGATACAAGATGAATACTGCCTCTAAGATTGCTCCTACAAACTCCAAGTATACTGTTCAGGTAGTCACCAAGTACATGTGTCGTAACTGTGGCCAGCAGTTTGAATCGACTGAGGACATGGATGCTCATATAGAAACTCATAATCGGGGCAATCCACCTCACTGCTGCTTCGTGTGCGGCAAGTCGTATCGCACGCCCTCCAAGCTGCGGCGTCACGTTCGCGTACACAGCGGTGAGAGACCGTATGCCTGCAGCCTGTGTGAGCGACGCTTTACGCGCTCCGACCACGTCAAGCAGCACATGAAGGTGCACCAACCGCAGCGGCAACGCAACCAGTGCCGGCTCTGTGGGCTGCGGTTTGGCAAGCCTGCCACCCTCTACACTCACTTGCAAGGGCATGGTATCGAGACTTTACACATGTGCGATTCCTGTGGTGAAACGTTTCGAGAAGAGGACCACCTCGCAAGACATAAAAGAGTCCATCACACAGTCGCCGGGGGGAATGGAAACGGCTCTCAAGATGCCCTAAACCAGAATGCCGTTAGCACAACCACCCAAGTTACTGACGACACAGACCAAGAGTTAAAGATGGATCACAGTAGCGATGAAAATGTAAACGCACTTTCTATCGCCTGCTTTGGCATGAACACCCCAGGTAGCAACCGGTCAACACCACTGCGCACCCTACCAGACGAGAGTCGGCCAGCATCAAGCGAACAGCCACCCCACTGTCTGGTCAGTCTCGATACTTCAGACAGGTTCATAGATCAACGGGTTTGTGATGAATCATATGAGAACAGTGCTCTAAATTTGAGTACAAAACCAGATGTTAACCCCCAAATATCTATACCATCATGTTACACACCAACAGATTCAAATACAATGGCAAACCACAGTAGTTTGCCTTACATAAAAACAGAACCTGTCAATAATGGTGTCAGTATGTATATGACCCCCAGCTTCTCTGGAGAGGAGCGGAACGATGATGTAGGCGAACGCGTGGAGGAAAACTCTTCACTGTCAGAAGAGAGATTTGCTGAGGGTTCCCCATCACTGATGCAAACTCCATATGCACACACGTTGCGAACTACAACAACCACAACAACAGCGACAAATGGAGGGACAATTGCTTCTCTCCTGCAGCAGCAACACACTGAATCGATACCACCTTCTTTTTCATTGCAACGAAACACCCAACTCGCATCCGAGTCTTACACACAGCCATTCCAAAGCAAAAGATGCCATCATTGTGTATCGTGTGGTATCTGGTTCGAAGATCTAGCAATGAGTATGCTTCATAATAGTCTTCATTTTACAGACGGACACAATGAATTCTCCTGTAAGAAGTGCTCCAAGAAACTGAGCAATCGACTTGAATTCACAGCACATTTGGTGTGGCATTTGGAGCCCAATGGTCAGTGAGCAGGGGGGAGCAAAGACCTTTACCTTTTTTTTCTTTTTTTTTTTCCTTTTTTTTTTTCTTCTTCTTTTCTTTAATGTTATTGAAGATGGCTAAGGGGAGATAACGGTCAATATCAAGATGCCGCCAGCAGCAGCAGCAGCAGCGGAAGGAGTTAAGTACAAAAGAGGAACAAACAAACAATTAACAACAACAACAAAATTTATATAAAAATAAATAAAACAGTTACCAACATAACAAACACAAATCAGCACTTGAGGGAATGTGGGGGTGACTCTTTCTCTTTTTAAACATATTTTTAGTATTAAAAAAAAATTGGACCAACTCAGATTTTGTTCCAAATAATGTATAATAATAACAATAATAATATCCTCCCCAAGAAAAATTTATCTTCCCCCCCTTTTCTTTTTTATGTTAATTTGTTTTTACTGGGTTTTGGTATCAAAAAGAAAAAAAAAAGCAAAAAAAGTAAATGGAAGATTTTTAATATATGCTTTATCTTATCAGTATAAGAAATATTAAATTTATGAGGATTTCTAATTTATAAATTATAAAAAAGAAAAAAAAAACTGAAAAAAATTGTTCTATGTTTTTTTTTTTGTTTTGTTTTTTTTTTTTGTTTTTTTTTTAAATTTGGCCCTGGACACACATTCATTTGCCACATTCTAGCCAAGCCAACAAAATTCGCATTCATTTCTATTGTAGGAGTTTTGATTTCTGTGAGATAATTTATTGCTTTTTTTTTTTTTTTTTTCCTTTACAGAAAATTTTGGACTTGAGAAAATTTGGGAGATTTGACACTTCCCTACCCAACCATTCTTTTCCTGCTTTCTGTGACTGTTTTTTTATTTAATCAGACTGTTTCTGTCTCTCTCTGTCTCTCTCTCTCTCTGATCATTTTCCTTCATATTTTATTCCTGGGAACTGAGTTTGCAAACTTAAAACAAAATGTGTGGATGTGTGTGTGTGCATGCATATATATATATATATATATATATATATATATATATATATATATATATGCACTTAATGTTTCACCTTTCAGCTTTTACTCTTTAAATGTGGTACATTTTGAAGTTTTAGCTAAAGTATATTGTTTCTCACAGTTTCGATAATCATGAAGCGATGAATTTATTGAACCTAACAAATACATATTCAATATTTACATATAATTATCCTTCAATATTTATTCACAAAAACTTTATTGTATGTCCTTTACAATTTGCACTTTAATTTATAGACTAAGCCATTTCTAAGTCTAATGTTTATTTAGTTTAAGAGGAAATGAAATATTAAGTTGAAATAACTTGCCAAATCCTTTTTTTTATAGTTGGGGGGTATATACTGATGTCCACAATTTTGATCTTTCTTAGATAAGCTAGAAGTGAATAGATAACAAAAGTTTTTCTTTATCTGAAAGAAAACTTTTTTTCAATTTTTAAAATAATATTGATGTTTTTAGTGGGTAACTTTGTTCCTGTTCCTTCAGCTTTTTTTTCTTTCTTTCTTTCTTTCTCTTGAAAATCCTCTAAGAATTTCTCCAGCCAAACAATACAATAAATAAAGCAGACATTACTGGTTAAGTCAAAATATTTTATATTTACTTTGTACAGTCTCTACTCCACTCACACATATACATATACATACACACACACACACATATATATATATATATATATATATATACACACACATCCCCTCTGTGCAACAATATTCATCTGTGATTAGTGTTAGCAGTTAAGACTGCTGGATCTCTAAAAGAGAGAGGGTATATTTTTTTTCTTATCAACAATTTGTTTCTACCTTTATGTCATTAAGTTTCACAGTCTCCGTTCTTTTTATCTTAAGTAAAAAAAAAAAAAAGTTTGGGGGTGGGGGGAATCATTGGTGGAATGAAATTTGGAGGGGATTTTTTTTTTCACTTTATTTCTCTCTCTCTCTCTCTCTCTCAAAAAATTTATTTCTTGCTCACAAGAGATGACACTACTCTCTGCTTTCATCCAATCTACCTATCAATTATCTTGTAAAAGTTAAATTCCATTCTTGCCGTCTTCATAACATTAATTTCTCACCGGATACCACCACCTTCTCCCCACACTGGCTGATATTGGGGCAGTGATCTCCTAGGTAGATGGAAGGAATAAATTAATTATAAGACTAACTTGAATAAGCAACAGTATATATATATATATATATATATATATATATAACACATTCCCTCTTCTTTTTCTTTCTAATAATCATTCATTCATTTCTTGACTCACTTCACCTTCTCCTCCTCCTCCTGCTGTTCGTAATCTTACTGTTCTGGTTGGTTTACAGATTATCTCCCCTTGGCCAATTCCGACTGTCTAAGGGTATTTTGGTTATTATTTAATCTCAAAATATTTAAGTTGTCATTCCAAAATTCGTTATGTGAATGATTTAGTCTTGAAGTGATGAGAGAAGAAAAATGAAAGAAAATAATCTTTATAAATATATCTATCTACATTTATATTAAACATATTCTATCTATATATATATATGATATATCAGGATATACTATAAAGCCCATCACCTTAGAGTCACATATATAATATCTTATGACTGTGATATTACTGTATTATCATTATTATTATTATTTAACAATGATTTTGTTTCACCAAGATGCTTTTGAACGGTCATGCATTGTATTTAAGGCGTTAAAAGACAATATCTACGTGTGTGTGTGTGTGACTGGAAAAATATATATAAATTAAATATATATATATTATATAAAAAACCACTAAAACAAAATCAATAAAAAATTAATAATGTAAGAAATAAAAGAAAATAATTTCCCCAGAAGTGAAACAGGAAATAAAGGGAATGATGTACTGGATGTTAGAGTTATTTAATCCTTCAAATTTTTTTAATTACTTAAAGATCCTTAATTATGATAAGTATTTTAGTTGGATTTTGCAAAACCTTTTCTAACAAAATTCACAATTTTTCTGTACTCATATTAAAAAGAAAAAATAACTTTCAACAAAGTGATATTCTGACAAGTGACACAAAATGTCAGTATGACAAAAGAAAAGTTTTTATAGGAGCAAAAAATCCAAACTAGCTAAAAGCAAATTGAGTAGAAAGATATATTTTTTTTTTAATTTTTGTTATTTGGTCAAATTGATTAGCTTTTTTTAATTATGCAGATGCTAATTGTTTATTGTTCTCTTATTTAAATTTTCAAATTTAATTTCTACTTAAATCATATATATATATATATATATATATATATATATATATATATAGTTGATTCATTTTTGCTTTTCTTTAAAAAAGATTCTTGAAATATTAAAGAAATACTTCTTCAGGACATAAAAAAAGAAAACAAAAAAAACTTTATACAATCATCTGATTAAGCCACAGAATAGATTATTTAACAACATTATAGTAATAACTGAACAACTCTACCCCCACCCAAGTTAAAATCCCCCCCCCGGCCCCACCAAGTGAGAGACAGAGAGATAGTTGCATAACTGATTGGAAATAATAATGTTGACTCAAATGTTTGCTTATTTAACTATTTTCCTTCGTCCATCTTTTGTAATGGGTTGCTGATGACTGAGAGACCTGCTATGCTGATAGACATTCCAATGTAGTTGCATGCCGTGGCAGTAGGACAAATTCTAAACTGTTTCTTGAAAAATGTGACTATGACTGAACTATTGGGCCTTATTCTCCAAGTGTGTCATAACCACTTTTGGGAGAGTGAAACCCTTGCCATCAAGCTGTGATAATAAGCATGATTTCAAGTGGACTCAGCATTTTATTTATTCTTTCTTTTTCTTTCTTTTTTTTTTCAAATCACCATCTTATGATAGTCCGTATTAAGCTTGCAACAATTTGCATCAGTGTGAGGCACTTGACATTTTTTAGGGATCTTCAACAAGTGCAGCCAAGTAAGGTAGGGGGATGTCTGCAACTTTTTAAACAAAACCAGAATTATAGTGAATTTTAAAGTGAATTTGAATCTCTCTAAAAAATTCTCAAGGACAAGTTATTTTGCATCAATTGAATTTATTTTGTGGAATTTTCATTCCCAGACTCTGACCCCCACCCACCCACAACAGTGATACTACAATCACTAACAGGGATGGGTTAAAACTGCTCAAGACAGTTTACCCACTCTCTTTGTACTTGATGTAGATACAGTAAGTCTCAAGTTCTATCAAATCACCTACAAATTTTCACATACACTCTCACTTTCTCTCTCTCTCTCTCTCTCTCACTCACTCAGACAGTTTCATAATCTCCCCCTCTACCTGTGGATATATTACTTCTGTTTATTCTTAACATACTATAATTTATTCTTGGTTGAAATGTACAGCAGTAACTAGACCAGACATCAGTACAACCAGTAAGGCCTGCTCATAGGGATTTATTTCCCTCCTACTCCATATACTGTTGTTGTTTTTTTTTCCAGATTTTTTATCTCTCTCTCTCTCTCTCTCTCTCTGAAAAACAGTAAATCTCTGATTGTATATATACTTGCTTTGCTTATAGTTGTTTTCGTTTTTTTTTTTTTTTTTAAAAAACAAAAAAACAAAAAAAAAACCTTATTTTTAGTTTGATTTAATTTTCTCTAAGTTTAGAGAAATGAGAATGTTAATATATATATATATATATATATATATATATATATATATATATATATATATATATATATATATATATATATTTTTTTTTCTCATCTTGTAAGACAGATGTTAGGTAGAACTTTACAAACAACATGCAAATTTCTCACTAGCAATTTTATGCAAAGTATTTTTCTTTTCTGACAATGAGGGCAGGGAGTGGGCAGAGGGTGAGTTGTTAAATCTCCAAGCATAATTACTCAAAAATCCTTAATTTACAACTGGCTAATTTTTAAAATTAATTATATATATTATTTTTTCTTTTGAATTTGAAACATTTTTTATTAACCTAATAATTGACGGGTAATTTTTTTTTTAAATTTGGTTGTGCTGTTAATATGTCTGGTTTCTGTTGTAACTTTTCAGCTATGAACTGCTAAAAAACAAAAAAAAACAGACGTTTAGCAGCATCTGTTGTGGATAATGTACTGATTGCACGGGTTTCAGGAAAAAAAAATAATAAAGAAAAAAAAACATTTTGTTATAAGTTGTTACATTTTGTTTCTTTCCAGGATATTTTTGAATTTCCCACCCACCAACAAAGCCCCATTTTATTTTATTGGTGTCTTCTTTATTTTTTTTTTTTTCCTTCATAGGTATTTTTTTTTCATTTTGATTACCATTGTCATGTGTTCCCTTACCATCCCCCCCCCAATCGCCATTTCTCTTAATCAATTCAACTTTCAAAAGTTGTGATTCATATGTGATTTTTTATTCTAAGAAAGACTTATGTGACAAAAAACAATTTCTACAAAATTTAAATAAATAACATTTTCCTCTTTTTAACCCTCCATTTTTACTTGCCATATATATATATATATATATATATATATATATATAATGTGTGTGTTCCTCTTCAAATATACCTGGGAGAATTTATTGTGAATCTGTCCATGGAAAGACTATAGGTCTTCTTTTTTTTTTTTTTAAATAAAGGTAAACTTTTCTGTTTTTTCTTTCATTTTGTAAAATTTGGAAGAATTGAAAGATAATTATTTGAAGAAGGGCGGAGAGAAAAAACAAAGGAAAAAAAAAAAAAAGGAAGTAAAACTTTAGACAATGACAAGTCATGCAAAAATAAAAATACTGAGGTTTTTGGTAGTCAGACTATAAACATTCTTAAAGTAAAAAAAAAAAAAATTCTGTATTCCTATTTTAAGTTCACTCTGAGGTTTACCTGTTCTGTGCTGAGATCAGCTCTGATCTTTTTTTTTTGAGTAAGACAAGTTATAAAATCAAAGCATGTGTCTAGTCTTCGGGATTTTCAACA